TGTCGTTGGTGGTAGAAGTTGGAAGTGACATTGGTATCGACTGGAATAAGGGGATGTGTGACTGATTAATATGTGAAGGAACACGATTGTCGAAGGGATTAGGGCACATTTGGAATTTGGCTAAATCAGAGGAAAATATCCGAGTCATATGTGCCCGTTACGCGAATCAAACATCATTGATCGAGAACGACTGACTGGACACATTCAGCGATAAATCAAACAACACTAATATTTTTCTGTCAAGCTTGTAAGTCAGACAAATATGTCAGATTCCCTTTTTATTTGTATAACTTTATCGTTCTTTTTCATTTGAAAATATTCATTCTCGTATATATAGATATCTCCTTAGCAAAGTTATAATAGTTTTAAATATCATTTCATGTTTTTAGATCACTATTGTAATTTTTGTAGGGTATATCTATACGATTAAAATTTAATATGTTTTATAAATTTAAGATTTTCCCTAACAAAATAGAAAAACCGTAGAAAAGATGAAAAGATTTGACACCAATATCTAAGGTTCTAAATAACGTAGGCGTGCCTTTACGGCAATGTCAAGTCTCAACCTTTTACGAGTAATGATGAGTCACGTCGTTTGTAAGGCGTAACTTAAAACGAAATTTTGTTAAAGCATGACGTCAAATACAATCTTTAGAGTCATGGTGCATAAGGCCTTTTTAGAACCTTACCAATATCATATAATCCAAAAACACTAAAAAAAAATTCATATACTAATATAACTTTAACCTTTCTATATTTTAACCGTCTAAATTCACTTTTTTTATCATGTGACCCACAAACAACTTGCAAACATTAATATTATAATCATTTAACTTCACTTATTTGATCGACAATTCGTTCAAATCTTTTGTCCCGATGTCTACTTCAAAATTTTGAATACTTGTCCAACAGTTGTCAAATCTTTTGTTCAAACGTTTTATATTGAATCCATACATGTTACCCACATTTTCTAATATATTACTCAAACGTTTTTTGTTGTCCATTTTTTATGACTATTTCTATATTTAATATACTATAAAAAGTTAAAATAAATACCAGTTGTCAAATATTATTGTTTGACAAACTGTTGGAAATACAAATGGGGCAAGAAATCTTCAATATATAATTTGTTAAATTAAGCAAAAAAATGTCAAATATATTGTGTTTGCGACAAAAGGGTATAGAAAAAGTTTACCCTATCTTGTAGAGAAGTTTAATTTCGCCAAAATGACTATAGAAAAAGTAGAATTTACCAAAAATGTATATAATTTATCAAATATGATAGATACAAAGACCTGGGATATAGACAAAAGATTTGATACATTATCTCTATATTTAATTCATATGGATTAGAAAATATTTAATCTGACTACGATATTATTGGAACCATTCACCGAAACACATACGGCATAACCATGTTACCCCACACCACAGATATGTGATCATAATTGATTAATATATAATAGGTTTGATCATGAAACATCAATTTCTGAAAATATGTTTGACATGTGTACTACCTGAACAACAAATTTTGTAGTTATAAATTTGTATACGATTCTTAGAAAAATATTCTATTTTGGTCACCTTACTTGTTTTTTGTGGTTATAAACTTGTTACTTGTTATGTTTCCTTTTTGTTTTTTTTTTTTTTTTTTTTTTTTTTTTTTTGACATGGGCTTATGTATAGGCCCACAAACCAAGTCTTCAGACAAGAGGACTGGAGCCCTGAATTAATCAAACTCATTTATGTAGAACGGTGGCATGCCATGCGGCCTAGTTCTGGGCCCAAGGTCGATCAATCTTACCGCCATGTAAAGCCTAAAAGGAGCTTGTCAGCTTCCTCGCCAGCCCAATTCAACGAGCCTACCACTAGTTAGACAGCGATCCAATGTTATTATGTCGATCCACAAAACTCGGCACCATGGTTCATTTTGGATTATTTTTTGTTCTTGATTGATTTTGTTTTGAATTTGAACATTGTTCTTGTTGATTTTTGGAACATGATGGTGTTCAATTAAGTAATGTTGGTGACGGAGCGATGGTGACGGTAAAAAAACAGACTTTTTTTTATGCAGATTGCAAGCTTATAGTCCATATTTTTTTAGACATGAAAAACAAAATTACAAACATTTTGTCTCTTACAAAATAAGCATCATCCTAAAAAACTTTTTAAATCTTTTACCAAAAAAAATGTAAAAGTTATAACTTTTAACAACTTTTTATCCAGATTAAATAGAATTTTTGTTTTATTTTATTAGAATATATATTAAAGAAAGAAGTACGCCGTTTAAATTATTTTTCCCATAAAATGCAATATTCTTCGTGTGTTGGCCTGGTGTCGTGGCCATCATTTCTTCTTCATCGTATATATTGTTTTTATTGGGGTGAGCAAAAACCGTACCGCAACTAAAATTAACCGCAAAAACTACATAAACCGCAACAGATTAACCGCAACCGTAATAAAAACCGATGGTGAGGTTTTCTGTTTTTCAAAAACCGCAAATTTGCGGTGTGGTGCAGTTATTAGTTTTTAAAAACCGCACCGCACCGCATATATTATATACAATTTTTTTATTAATTATTAATATATTAAATATTAAAAATAAGACAAATTTCATAGATGAAAGAAAATAAAATTCTAGAAGACAAAAGTGTTGGTTTTTTTATGTTTAACTTTAAAAAATGGTGAAATTTGACAATTTTAAGATATCGTTAATTACTGGTGATTTAATGTTTTTAAGATATTAGTTGTTTGTAATTTAAGTTAATTGTCTTATACCTTATGGTTTTTTATTATTACAAGTAATATTTAAACTCTTAAAATTGTTTGAATTGTAAAGTGCGGTTAAAACAACACAAAATAACCGCACCAAATTCATGCGGTTGATAACCGAAACACAAAAAAACAAAACCGCACCGCAAAAATAACCGCATCAAGCGGTTTTGAAAATTAATTAACCGCATTTGCGGTTAGTGGTGAGATTTTGGTCAATAACTGCACCGAACCACACTGCGTTCACCCTATTTTTTAGAACGGATAACTCACATAACTATTAATCTTATTTTTAAATCTTTATCTTTTGTCTAATACAGGACTTGACCCTGCAACACACCTCTTTAATACACTTGGTACCACAAGACTACAAACCCTTTGGTTTTCTTTTATCATATTCATCTTAGATTCTCATAAAGTGTCGTATTCCACTTCGACGTCTTCATCTTTATTGTTGTCATTGTCAAAATTTCTAGTACCAGTATGGGTGCTGATAAATTTTTCGTAATTAATGCATGTTTTCTAGTATGGGTGTTGATAAATTTGTCGTAAATAATTCATGTGTTAGTAAAAAAAAAAAAAAAAAAAAGAAGGAAAAAAAACTCAATGTGAGAGTAATCATATCATATCATCAGATACCTCTAAGTGCTACAAGGTGTTCTAGTGTCCCACCAGATCTAAGTAATCTTCTTTCAATAATATATATGAATGTGGTTGTAAGCTGTATGGAGCGGACGATTGGACGAAATGTCACCTATACATGCTAACTTACTTTGTAAATTTAGTAATCTCATTTGAATATCGACTCTTGTAGAATTCCAAATTTTATAGATTTTGTCTAAGAACAGAACGACTTATTTCTTCATATATCAGTTGATGTTTTTCTTTGATAAGATCTGTCAAACGTGGTTTGTCAAGATGATAAAGAAAAATAGAGAATTATTAACCTAAATATTTTAAAATGTTTAACAAATAATATAAGTTTTATTAGACAGTTCTTACTCTCTTTTCTTCAGTGCTCGAATAGATTAGATTAAACCAAAAAGTAAAAAGGTACAAAGGTCTATATAATTACGATTAGTCTTTTCTTATTCCTTCTTTTTTATAGCATTCCCAATCAAACATTCTAAATTTAGCAACTCCATATGATGAATTACGCGTGAATATAAGTTGGAAAGCAACCAAATCACTTTTAATTTTAAAAGAAAAGTAAGGAACAGTTCGATTTCCACACGACCGACCCAGTTGCAACAGAATAAACAAATCAAAAACAAAAAGAAGAACAAACATTTTGAACCCGTATCACTTTAATTATACACCTCCACGTTTTATGTCACACAATTGTTACATTTGGTTTTTATTGTAGAATAATTTATATTTATTGTAGATGATACTACTACTACTACTAATAATAATAAATAAATAAATAAACTAAAATTATCAATATAATTATAAAGTGATAAAATACGAAAAGCATGAAATTTCTAATAACAAACTTTTGTATATTACAAAAGTTGGGTATATTTTCAATTTAGGGGATAATACAGAAGAGAAGATAGAGTAGAACGCACCACACTGTAGCACGCTACACCTTACAAGGAGGCATGTGGTGGGGGTTGAAGGTGATGAATCATCACTAATCATGACACGTAATCATGCCTTCACTACTACTGTAAGTCTGTAACTGTGTAAGAAACGAAAAAACAGACGGAATCTACAATCATCTGATCATCTCATCTCTGATATTATATACCCATTTATATCAAGATACTAACATCCATCGATTCACGAGATGAATGTAATCACAGGATATAATTCATAATAGTTTATGAACCCACATTAAATCATAATTGATGCGTAATTAGAACACAGACGGAAAATCTACAATCATCTCTAACGATTAATTGAAATTTTAATAGGTTGATGCAGCTTTTTATAAGTGAAATCATTCAAGATAATTCATATATATCAAACTACCTCTGATTTCCAAAGGAAATAAATATCTTCAATATTCTAGGAGGTATTGAATATTTCTATTAGGAGAAAAAAAAATCCAGGAAATGATACCAGCACGATTAATAGTCGATGGATCATTCCAGATGCATCAGTTAATTCACATAAAAGAAAAAAAGACGATAGAAGTTTACATCAAACATGCATCAGTTAATTTACAGGATTAGAGATGAGATCGAGATGAAGAACGAACGATTGATGAAATTTGGGATGAGTTAAGAAACAACCAATTCCTTGCCGCCGTGGGTGCAATGATCCAAAACAGAGAACCTGGAAGGCTTCGGCTCAAAATTCTTCCTCCTTTGGATATCATGACTCGACGGTTTGATTATCTTCAACAGAAACTCTTTCACCAGATTCGTCTTCTTAATATCCAATCGATTTAATTGCTCCGCGATCAATTTTCTCCCTACTTTAGGAGACGAGCTGCGGTGGCGTGCGCACCGGAATGAGCCCGGATGGTTCGTCGGAGAACAGAGGCATGTCCGCCTTGACGACGTCGACGATGATGAATTTATGTGACCAGAATCCATCACTTTTTGGGGTGTCTGTGCATGCACTTCAATTTGATTGATAGGGTTTGGTTGTTATTCAACGCGTAATATTAGGACTCAGATTTACAACTACTTCCCCTACATCATGGGTTTATTTCAGAAAAACCTTCAACTTTGTATTTCATGTCAAAACTACCCCCTATGCATAAATGGTAACTCTACAATTTGATGTAAGATTGAGCAAATTCAAAGCGCTCCCAATATTACTTACATCAAGTTAAAACTTTGGTACAAACTTGACTTGATAATGCTAAAATAATATAATTTTCTAAAGTAGATAGAGTTGTAAGAGAATTTACTTTTAAGAGGAATGTAAATTTACTAATTGTTTATTCTTTCTAACTTGAATTAACTTGCTGTAGCTAATTACCTTATTTTGACGTATACTTTTCATTTAAGGTTGGTGAAAAATTGTAATGAGACATATTTTGCATGTCAATGGATTAAGGTTAATCTAATTTTAAGTTCTGAGGGGTCTGCATTGGATAAAACTATAATATATAGATCCAACATTTCATATATGGACCCAATTATAAAAGATAAGGGGACAATTAATATAAACATTACTATGCTTTGTATAGATTCTCTATTTATAATTGGTTGAAAATAAATAAGACCCACCACAATCGTAACTAAAATAATGGTAAGAGTTTATAAACTTAGAAGTTTTTCAAAGAAAACTTATTCAATGGCTTTTCAAAATTTAAAAGTTTTTTGATGCGAAAAAAGATGCTAAAAGTAAAAAAGATACCTTCTTGAAATGCGAATTTACAGTTCATACCCATATTTCAAATTTTTATTTCTAAGAGATCATTCTTCCATTTATGCAATCTTCTACTTTTTATGTGACCAAAAACCAAAAAAAAAAATCCCTTTTCTTTTTTAGAATTAAGAGGTGTCTATTGTTGGAGGAAATACATGTTTCAATGGCTGATATTTATAAATTTTTATATAACTTTTATGTTTATCAAAGTTTTGAAAACCACTAAAAAAATTTAAGATGTTATTTATGTTTTATTTGAGTTAATTATGGTCTCGTTGAATGTTATTTTTGTTATTTTGTATTTGATCATAACCGAAATTTTATGAATAATGACAATCAAGTTTAGCCATATTATCATGAATATAACTTTTTACAGCTTTCAAACATTTTATTGATGATTTTTGAATATGATGGCCAAATTAAGACCTGTAGCGAAGTAGGCTGTATTTTCAGGATTAATCATATGGTCAGTCGGCCACACACTAAGCCTAAACATATAATATATTTTCATCATTTAATAAAGCTAACTGTAGAAAAGATAATGTATTTTCATCATCCTATCAATTTATACAATGAATTATCTTAACTATTTATTAGAGCATTCTTATTAGGAAATTGTCATTCTCAATAGATCTCATATGGAGTGGTGCGTTTGTTATATTATTTTATTAAACATATGTTTATATAAATTAATTGACTATTATACTTTTAGTATGAGGCCATAACTATTTTAAAATGTTAATTAGAGAGATGTCATAAGGAGAAAAGCAAACGAAAACCGAAAGTTGTAGGCCCGTCTCGCCTAACTGCCACACATGATACCCATACGATGTGCCTAGTCATTCCACGTAGTTTCACAGTCGGTTTGATATTTTTCGTCTTTTTGTAGTTTTTGGGGATTATTAAATCCAAACAAAATATTCCGAGATAATATACTTCTAGAAATAAATACCACATTGATGTGGAGTTGAGTCATTTATGGAGGGAAGCGACTAAAATTCAACTTCAAACGATAATAAATTAATAGTGCAACAACAAATTAGGATGTTAACCAGAAACTGAAACAAACCACTAAAACCAATCCGGTCGTATTGGTTATGTGGACCGTATTGGAATCAGTTTCATAACCGAACCGGGTTGAGAGGATTATGTGGACCGTGGACTGGACCTATTCAGACATACCGGTGCCGGTGCCAGTACCCGTTTTCCGGTTTTTGGACGGTAGACCGGTACAACATTTGTTAAGTATGGTACTGTCACACCCCCAAACCGGAACGGCGGAAACATTCAGGGACGGAGGACGTCATGTACAGTATTACAACAATTGTATAATAGTAATCAAAATAAACACAACCATTACATTGATTGAATATATTATTTACATCTGTTCAATACATAGTTTGTATGGCATAAAAAATGTGTAACAAAAGTATAAAAGACGCGACTCTAAAAACTCTGTCTTCTCAAAACCTGCAGGTGCACCTGTCTACCGGTTCCCTAAGAATACAAGTGGTTTTGAAAGTGTATTAACACTTAAGTTGGTGAGTTCATAAGTATGTTTTTGTAATGGAAACTTGTCTTTGATCTTTGAAAATGTTCGTATGTGTTCCTCAAGAAAATCCAATATTTTCTTTAGTAGTAAAAAGTAGTCTTAGGCCTTAAGACCAAAATATACGTTTGTTCTGCAATCTGTAATAGTATAACATAGTAGTGTTGGTCATGAAACCCTTGTATGAAAATCTTTTTATGTATGCCTGGTTACTACCAGTTGTAATGTATAATAGTGTACTGTAGTTTCATTAATTAAAATAAAACCGTTTGTTTGAAATCCCTGGAATCCTCCGGTTGTAATGTAATGTAGCTTTATTATTTAAAATAAAATCGTTCGAAGAAATGAAATCCCGTAAACAAATGTTTTAGTTTATACTGTTGCGAGTTTCGTATAACCATATTTGATATGACCTAGTGACCTCTATGACGTTCTTCAGGCGTCGGAAACGTTATGACATTTGTCACCCCAGGCCTGCCGGCCTAAGTGTAGCTAGCAGTTCAGGTGTGGGATTGTCAGTCCCGTATAGATCTATACACAAATCTCACGCTCTCCCTCCAGGAGACTCTGGTTATATTGTATAGGATTTAGTTCCATACCCTGATGGGTACAATTGAAGTAGTGCCTCACAACCATGTATTAACTAGTTTACGTGTAATGTTGTAGTGTTCTCTTGTACTTGAAACTGTATGTATAACTTGTAGAGTAAAAATAATTATACTTAAATAATTATTTAGTATTGTACTATTGTATTCGGAAAATAGTATTGTATACCAAAAACTATATCTATCATAGTTTATATTTTTGTTTCTGTATAAAGCTCTTGAATTAGTAAAACCATGTAATGTATCCCAAACTATACCTATTATAGTTTGTATGTATGTTCTTGTTTCGAGTATTGTACTTGGTAAAAGTAGTGTAGTGTTCCCAAACTATATCAATTATAGTTTAATGTATGATCTGAATTGTACTGAAAGCTTTGCGATTTAGTTGTATGAAGGAAAACACCTTTATGCTCGACATGGTACAAAAGGGTTAAAATATATAAATATATTTGTAAAATGTAGTGAAATCTCTGTTTGAAGCAGTTGCAAAGGTTTTGAAATCGTTTGTATAAAAAACAGAAATCCTTGTGTTTTACTTGTATTCCCCCCCCCCCCCTTCCCCTAAAAACATTGAAAACAATGAAAATGTAGGGGGGTATGAACTCACAGTTGTTTATGTGTATGTGCTGGACAGCGAGACTGGAAAGATGACCCTCGAGTTGACGTACGCGGAATTAACGGTATCCTAATAATAGTTAAACACAAAATTGTATTTAAATTAGTGAAACCATTAATTAAAGTGTTAGAAAAAACTTGTTTTGTGTTGAGAGTAATTACCGAAAATTGCACAAGTGTTGAAGGGTTTTCGGTTCCAAGGAGTTTTCGGTTCAAGGGGGTTCTCGGCCGAAAACGGATTGCGCTCCTGAGCTGTTTTCGGTCACTTGAAGATATGAAGGTTGTTCTTGGTGTTCTCGGTGTTCTTGGTGAAAAATATGAAGATTCAAAGGATTGTTCTTGAAGATATGAATGTTCTTGGATGATACTTGAGACAGAATTGGGAGTGTTTTCGAGCGAAAAAGTGAGAAAATGACTAAGTTTTCGGATGAAACATATATATATCCGGTTGGCTTTTCGGCCGGAAAGAGGGTTTTCGGCCGAAATCTGTTTTCGGTCCGAAGGTTTTCGGCCGGAAACAGTTTGCTATCACGAGGTTTGCGGTTTCGAGGGAAAAATCTTGGTTTTTCGAGTGTTTTTTATTCTGAAAACTTATATAAACTTATATAAACTTTATTTATATAATTTAAATTATTTTCTAATCTTTACGAGCTTAACAAAATAAATAAAGACTCGAATTTTATTTATCGGATTTGACTTTTGTTGACTCGGAAAGTAACAGGTTGTTACATTATCCCCCCGTTAGAGGGAATTTCGTCCCGAAATTCTTTCTATAGAGAGTAGACTATGGACTAGGGAAAAAGATGTGGATATTTTAGTTTCATTTGATCCTCTCGTTCCCAAGTGATTTCAGGTCCTCGCTTGGCATTCCAACGAACCTTCACTATTGGTATGCGACTTTTTTTCGTTCGTTTGACCTCCCTATCCATGATTTCTACCGGTTCTTCCACGAAGTTAAGGCTCTCGTTTATCTCGATTTAATCGAGTGGAATCACAAGAGTCTCGTCGGATAGACACTTCTTTAAGTTTGACACGTGGAAGACAGAATGTACGTTGTTAAGTTCTCGTGGTAGATGGAGTTTGTAAGCCACGGGGCCGATTCTAGCGAGGATCTCGAAAGGCCCAATGTACCTTGGATTTAGCTTCCCACGCTTTCTGAAGCGTATCATGCCCTTCCAGGGTGAGACCTTCAACAGAACGCGGTCACCAACCTGGAATTCCAAAGGTTTTTGTCTCTTGTATGCGTAGATCTTTTGTCTATCTCTAGAGGCTTTCAGTCGTTCTCAAATTTGTACGATCTTTTATGTGACAACCGTCAATTTCTGGTCAAGTCAAAGTCAAATAAAGTCAACAAGTCAAACCGGTCAACTCAATTAACATTCGTATATTAGGGTCTACATCATGCTTACTAATTTACTATTGTGCAACTCACTATTTTAATGAAAAT